TCCGGCGGGAAAAGGCAAAGTCCTGCCACAGGGAGGAACAACCCCGCAGCCACACAGCCTGGGGCCGGCCGGGGGAGAGCGGCTCCGCAGAGACAGATCTGGGGGTCCCGGTGGGCACCGAGTTTTGTAAACTGACCCCAGGGACGCTAAGAGGGGTCTCCCCTTCTTCCAGTTTTTCCATTTGCTGTCTTACTGTGTTCTTTATTCCAAGCTTTCAGCTTTCTCCACCCTCAGCGTTCTCAAGGTGGGAAAAAAAACTAATGGCTTTTAAGATACGTGACGAATGCCGGCACACAGCTCCTGGTTACTCTGTGCATCTCTGCTGCACAGTGCGATGGGTGCTAGAAATTCACCTGTGCTCAGCAGTGATAATCTCTGCAGAAACATCCATTAAATACTGCTTCTATCCCCAGAAAGTCCTGGAGTCCTCCAGATTTCTGGAGGGTGTTGGGGAATAACTTCCCGATATGGGTGTACGGGTGCTGGATGGGCCACCCAGCTGGATCACGGACAATGAGGAACCTGTTAGCTGGGGAACCTGTTAGCCTTGTCTGTAGTGACCGTGAAATAGTGGAGTTCATGATCCGGAGGGAAGGAGAGCAGCAGAGCTCAGACCCTGGGCCTCAGAAGAGCAGATTTCGGCTACTTCAGGGCACCAGTAGGGGGGATCCCACTGGAGACAGCTCTGAAGGACAAAGGAGCTTAGGAAAGGTGGCAGGTTTTTCAGGACAGCATCCTCCAATTGCAGGAACGGTCCATCCCGGTACTCAGGGAGATGGACAGATGTAGCAGGAGATGAGCAGGCTATAGGGAACCCGTGATGGAGCTGCACTGCAGAAAGTAGCGGGTAGGGTGGGGGGATCGCTCTGTGAGATGGGGCTCCAGGAGGAAAACGACCAGAAATGGAGGATAATCAAGTCGGGGATCTCCTGAGAAACATGTAAGCCCACGGGCCCCGAGGGCTGCTGAGGTCCTTGCGGGGCTCCTCTAGGTCATCTCCAGAAGGTGACAGGTAGTCAGGGGGGGCCCTGATGGGTAGAGAAAGGCAAGTGTTGCATCTGTTGTTAAAAAAGACCATGCAGGGACCAAGAGGCCGGGCAGCCTCGCCTCGGTCCCTGAGATACCACCGAGTGGGCCCTCCCGGAGCACGTTTCCAGAGGTGGGAAGGAGAAGAGGGTGACTGGGAGCTGCCAGCCGGGATCGCTTGCATCTGTCCGATTGCTCAGGGATAATTCAGCTTGCTAATCCCACAGAAAACCAGCGAGTCTCCCTCCCCGTCCGTCTGACCTGCCCATGCAGTGCCGTGTGGCACGGGCACCGAGAGCACTCTGACGCCAGCAGAACGGCCGCCACGTTTCAGGATGTCACTGTTGGATTAGCCAGGGGCTGTTCCCTGCCAGCTCCAGCAAATGGGCACAGAGCGAGCCACACCAGCAACCTGCGCCTAAAAAACTCGTGTATTTGTTATTGCAGGGTTGGTTTCAGCTGGATCGGCATGCTCCCTGACCCGGCCTGCGGCCAGGCGCAGAGAAGCAGCGGAGCACACAGCAAGTGCTGAGGAAACGGGGGAAAGAAAGGAGCCGAGGGAGCCACCGTTTCTGCTGGCAGCCTGGTCCTACACCAGCCTCAGCCAGCACAAAACCGCACCCGCAGAGAGCAGGAGAAGGGGCCCAAGGGTTTCTGGGGGATGTCCAGGGCTGGTAGGAAGCCTGGCACTACGTCCACATTTCCTCAAACCACAGATTCCCGGGGAATGCGGCATGAACTAAAGAAGCATTACACACTTCTCTTCTTGTACTCTTCCCTCGGCATCTGCAACTGGCCACCAGCGGGGCCAAACAGGGTGAGACAGGCTGTTGGTCTGATTAGTTCAGCCATTTTTATGTTTCCAGCAACCACAACAGAAACAGGCCAAAAATATCCCATCCGTTGTTGGAGAGAGGCATGGGGCTGCTACGGGTCACACAAATATCCTCAACTCACAGAATTATGGATCGGTTGAGGCTGGAATCTTGCACGGCAATCTTGCACGCGAGGTCTGGGGAAGCTGAGCCCATTATAACTAAACAGGTTTTAATTACAGCTCAACACAAATATAAACATCTGGGAAAAAGGAGAATTCCTTCTGGAAAGCCGCACACAAGCAGCTCTACAACAGCTAGGAGAAGAAGCCAGAGCAGCTGCAGGCGGGATGTGATAGGACAGGAGGTACAAGAGGAAAAGGAGCCAGGCTGTGAAGCAGGACAACGCCTGCAGGTCAGGAACGCGGCAGTACCTGGCACGGCCAGGTCCCGGCCTCTGCACCAAGCACATAACCCTCTTCTTGGCCGGTTCAGACAACAGGCAAGTCCCAACGCCACTGGAGAGCCGTGCAGGACACAGCTGCCCCCACAGAAGCGGTTTCAACTTTCCTTAACGACCTGCATCCAGTAGACCACCCCCTTCCAGAGACGTCAGCAGGCACGGACGTTTAGCAAGCGAGCGGAGGTTTGCCTACCTGTGGATGATCCCCAAGGCTTTGTAGACGGCCACTCGCCCGCTGCCCTCCTTCGACTGCCCGTCCCGCTTGTCTTTGGCGTACATGTTCTTCTCCGAGAAGTTACAGCCCGTGAAGTCAAAGTGAGGTGAGTTCAAGGAGATGAGTTTGGGGAACAGCATGTTCTCCACCTGCGATGCACAGAGAGGAACACGGGTGACTCTGGGGGGAGCCCTTGGCTGTTCGTCCAGCTCCAGCGCTACCAGTGCCAAGCTCTGGGATGCACTGGGGTGTTGGCCAAGGCTGGGCCCACTCTGCCCAGTTCCAGCGTCTCCCACACTCCACGCTGCCCACCCCCGCCTGCCCCCTGCCCACCTCCAGCAGGGAGAGGCAGCAGCGGGGCTCTCCCGACAGCCTGCTCGTGGAGGGGGAGAGGAGGGAGCCCAGCGGCACAAGTCTTCCCCACTCTCTCATCCCTTAGGAGAAGGACTTGCCCACCCCAGCTCCCGGGGGGAAGCTGAGACCTGCTGCAGCTGCTCCCATCACAGGCCGGGGAGAGGAGAGGGAGAGGGGAGGACAGCAAACCCCACCGAGCACCGAAGGCAGGGAGGGCAGCCGGCCCAGCGCCCTCTCCTTGGGCACCAGCCCTGTCCCGACAGGCAGCTGAGTTTCTGGCGTGACAGGGATCTCCTACCCCCTCTCCCAGCAGTGGGAGGGAGCGTTTGGGACCCTGGGGAGGGGGCAGAGGGGGTCCCAGCCTGCTCCAGCACCTCTGTACTCCTACCCCCTGCCCTCACCTGATCGTTTTCGTCACTGAAACTGTTGCCGTACATGAAGCAGCCGCGCTTGGAGGCATGTCCGTGGAGATCGACGTAGTAGGCCAGCCCACTGTCCTGGGGCAGGATGGTTTCGGGGAGAGGTGCGGGCGGAGGCCTCCTGACGTCCTCCTCACAGTGCTCCGCGGTCTGGCTTGAAGGGAGGATCCAGACAGCTTGGTCCTTGCTGCCCAGCTCGGTGGCAGGCGCTCCCGAGAGCCGGGGTTCCTGAGAAGGGCTGAAGTACGTGCTGGCACGCCAGGTGCTGGGCGAGTTGCGGAGGTTATTGGCTTTCTCCAGCTCTGACAGGGCTGTCTCCGGGGACAGGGCGTTGCTGCGGACGGAATGGTTGGAAGATTTTGTGCTTAGCGAGCTGGTGCTGAGTGGTGAGACGTATGTCCTCCAGTCAGGAGAGCCTGGCAGGATGCGGCTGTGAACGTGGTGGTAGAGGAGGACAGCTTTGGCCCCGTACACTGCAGGGTGCAGCTCGGCGTCGGGGTTGAGATACTGGCGGTTCAGGTTTACCCCACGGGAGTCAGTCCTGCAGGGAGAGCAGAGGAGACGTGAGGTCCTTCGCACAGCACCATCTGCTCTGCGGAGGCTGACCTGACCTTACCTCATAACGGCCGAGGCTTTGGGCTCTATCCTGGAGTACAATTGGCCAAATCACCCCCTTGCGGGCAAGCGGGCAGCGACTCTG